TTGTCAAGTCGTTAATATGTTTTTTTATAAAAAGTTTGTACATTTGGCTACAAAAATGGTATGTATTAAAACGTATTACCAAAAAAAGTGTAACACCCGGTTCCCTGGTACGCATTTAATTTGATTATTTATTTTTTTTGAAAGAATGACTCGACGAGTTGGTAGCCCTAACTCGTTTAGTAGAAGGTAGACTATGTGTGGGGTTTAAGTTATCTACTCGGCGAGTCAAGTCCCTGACTCGGCGAGTATCTCAGTTAGGGTGAAAGCCTCATTTCGGGGTTTTGCACCCTATTTAAACACCTTAATCCCCACCCCTTAGCCTCATTTGCATCCTCCTTGTCCCAATCCCTCAGCTACGAAACCCTAGAGTGCTTTTGAGTGTGTGAGGCACTTTTGAGTGTTATTTGTGTCTTTTGAAGCTTGTGGAAGAAGAAGAAGTTAGAGGACTCAAGAGAAAGACAGTAGATCCAGAAGTTTCATCCCTTTAGCCTCGTTTTCTAGTAATAAAGCCTTAAAATTGATCATTCTCTTCGTAGATCTATTTATTGTTGGATAAGGTGTCTAAGTCCATAACTATATTTGGTATGTACTTGACTTGAAAGTAGCATGGTCCATTTGGGTTGCATTCACCGGAACAATTTGTAAGGATAGACTTTTGAGAAGAGGTTATATATGAATTATTAATATATTATAAGTTTTAATATATTAACATGAAATCATATTATTTAATTAGTATTGATCAAGATTTAATTTGGAATTAATTTAGTGATCAAAACAAACTAATTAAATGTAAGGGGATTGATTTGGTAAATCAATGATTCTTATAGTGTGGGTCTATGGTTATTTAGGATGGGCTAAACCAATATGGTAGTCCATGGAAGTTACATGGAGGTTTAATCAATGGATCCTAAGTAAGATGAAAGGTCATGCACATTAGGGTTTACATGGGTGTAACCCTAATCCTTGTCACATTATAAAAGGAGTCCCTTAGCTCATGAAATCGACTACTAGTGATCTTTGGAAGAGCATAGCCAATTTTTGTGTGCTAGTTATTCTCTCTCAAGTCCTCCATTGTTGGTGGTGTTTTGTGAATCATTTCAGGCATCACATTTGGGGTGCTAGGCTCTGAAAGGTCCAAGGTATCATGCTACAAGAAAAGGTTTGTCATCTAACTAGTTTTTTTATAAAAGTACCCATGTTTTGTATGCTAGTTAGGATAATGCTTTGGAAAATCAAATTGCATGTATAATTAGAGAAAACATAGATCCAAAGCATTTAGGGTTGTATGTGCACCTTAAGGTTGTTAGAGTGCTCAAAACCCATTAGTGATATCAAAGCCTAGGATTGTTTTCTATTATACTTGATGTGTATTGGTTTTCGAAGTTGAAAGAATCGATAGTCTGCAATCTGACTGGTTAAATCGCCGAGTCCACTGGGTGACTCGACGATTCCACTTAGAAACAGACCAACTCGATGAGTCCAGTTCATGTACTCGTAGAGTTGGTGCTCTAGTGTGCAAAATTTCGAGTTTTGGCCAGAAATTGGAATAGGATCATTACCCCAAACTGTTTTTTGAATCATGAAATATGTTTTTTCATAAGGTAATGATCATGCTTGTCCAATTAAAAGATAATTCTCATAATTTCAAGATTTGTATTAGTCTATATGATTAGGCTAATTATTGAAGATTGATGATATGAATTATCTTGTTCTTATGAGTTTAACTAGATCATCTATGAATTTTTTGATTATTGTGTTAATTAAAATAATGATCTAAATGCTTTTAATGGACTCTATAACCTGTCCTCAAGTTATGGAAAATGAAAAGTCTATTCTTTAAAAAGTCATTAAACTCATAAGTTATGGAAATGAAAAAGTTTTGAATAGTTTCAAAACTTGTCCTCAAGTTTTGGAATTTGTAAAGTCACACTTATGAATACTTTAATTCCAAACCCTAGAATTTTAAAAGTTTAAAATTCAACACTTATAGTATTATAATATTAAAAGTTTACTATATATATATATATATATATATATATATATATATATATATATATATATAAGATAAGTCAGTCTTACTGTTAGTAGGCCTAATTCACGAAACCGGGCTATAAGGGGGGGGGGGGGGTATAAGGTTACTGCCTATAAAATGGTGGTATAATGGGTGTCCACTCTCACCCACCGTTTCCTTGACTGGTGGAGGGTTGTTAGCCGAACAGGTAGCATAGGACACTAATTCTCATTAAAAGTATAATGATAATGACAAGGTAACTAAATGTTTTATTAAATTACCAATCTTAGTTACTTTAGGAAAATGTGAAATCAATGCTAATCCATGAAATTTCACTTTTAACATTGCCAAGTCGTTAATGGAGAGTGTGTGGTTAACTGACACATTAACTTAGACTAGTAAGGATGGTAAAGGGTAGCTTGATGTTTTTCATAGATTGGTGGAGTGTGTGTGGTTAACTGACACATCGATTAGGTGATAAATGACATCAAGTGTACCAAGTAAATTTGCATGCTTATTCACACCTTGTTTGTGATCCTCGGTATCCCAGTCACAAACTTGAAGGACATAATCGATATTTAAACATGCCATTGAAAAGTTCAATAAATCTCAAAAGAATCTAGGAATTTCAATCCAATTAAAACTTAATAATCTATTTCGTTTTTATGGTGGAAATTGGTGCATCGTCATTTACCTAGCTTCAAATATTTTGCAAGTTGGATTACGGCATCCCTCTTCCAATTTGTAAAATATTGTGTTAGGTCATAGCCTTAATATTTCAATTGGGTGTTACATTAAGGACTATTATCTAACCTAAACTTTATCCTTCTTTTTCAAATGTCTTCCAACACTCCTTTTGGCTCAAGCCCTACTAGCTCCTTCTCTCTCTTGAACTTGTGTGGAAGAGTCATCCTTGATGGCACTAACTTCAATGACTAGATTAGGAACATCAGGATGGTCACTCACTATGAGGACAAGGAATATGTCCTAGACAAGGAGCTTAAGGAAATTGATGAGTCTTCTACTGCTCCTGAGGAGATTGTTAAGTTTAGGACACATGAGAAGGATGCCACTAAGGTATCTTGTATCATGTTGGCTACTATGACAGCTGAACTCCAAAAGTCCTATGAGGACTTCTACCCTTTCGAGATGCACTAAGACCTAATGGAAAGATATCATCAAAGTGCACGTCAACATAGGTATGAAATCATCTCCTCCATGATAACAACTAAGATGAAGGATGGAGAGTCCATCATGGCCCACTTGCAGAAAATGCAAAGGTTTGAGGACCGTTTGCTAAATTTGAATGTGAACTTTGATGAGGAGTTGGATATATATATATATATATATATATATATATATATATATATATATATATATATATATATATATATATATATATATATATATATATCATTCTACACTCCTTACCTCCATGTTATGATCAGTTCCACATGACCTATCATATGAACAAGGGGGAGGTCACACTTAGCAAACTTCAAGGGCTTTTGAGGACTACTGAAATTAGTCTCAAAGTCAAATAAGTTGTTACTACTCCTACTACTGCCCCTGTTCTGGCAATTGGGCATGGCGAAGGGAAGAAGAGGAAGACCCCTTCCAAGGGTCACAAGGGAAAGTCTCATGATGGATCCTTTTCAAGTGGAACCAAAGGTGGTTCTGCTACTTCCTCAACCAACCCAAAGGAAGCAGAGTGCTTCTATTGTCATGATAAAGGGCACTGGAAGCTTAGCTTCCCCAAGTACTTGCAGAATGTTAAGGATGGGAAGGTTAAACCCACCCATGCAGGTGTTTACACTATTCTATCTAAAAAAGCATCACATGCTAACTCTTGGGTCCTTGATACAGGTTATGGATTTCAAATTTGTTCTGATATGCAGGGCCTAAAAAAAAGTAAGGATGTGGAGCACAGGAAGATAAACTTGATCATGGGGAATAGGAAAGTTTCACCTGTCACAAAGATTGGATTTTACTCTTTATTTCTTAGTAGTGGGTTAGAAATAGATTTGAATAATTGTTATTACACCTCTGATATGGCGAGAAATATTATTTCATTTCATGGTTTGTACAAACAAGGTTTTAGTTTTTTACTTGATAATGAAATTGGTGTTATTAATGCTTTTTATAATGGTGTATTTTATTTTAAAGCATTGCCTTGTAATCATTTATATGAAACTGTGATGGTTGTAGGCAATTTAGGAAATAATGTGTTACATATTGATTCTTCCAATAGTTTGGATAAGGCATCCTTATAGCATTGTCGTCTTGGACATGTCAACAAGAAGCGCATAGGCCAACTCCAAAAGACTGGAGGTTTGGAGTCATTTGACTTAAGGTCGGATGACACTTGCGAATCTTGTTTGCTTAGAAAAATGACTAAGTCACCCTGTACCGGTACTAGTGAGAGCGGTGAGGGTTTTACTGATGTGTGTGGGCCCTTCAGAATTGTCATAAGGGATGCTAACCACTTCTATGTGACTTTTACTGATGATTATAGTAGATATGGCTATGTCTACTTAATCAATACACTACAAGAAAAAGGCCCTTTTACGACGTGCAAACCACGACACTCGTTGTTTTATGTTACGCAAAAGAGAGTGACATTAAAAATGTGTCATCTCTTAAAAAAAATTTAGGATTTAGATCACGCATTATTGCGTGCCGTTAAATTAATGTCTCATGTAAAAAATTAAAAACACGGAGGGCACTTTATAAAAAATGTGCGCCCTCTATGAATGTCGCTTTATATTTTTTTTAAGGAACGCGCGCGTCTCTCTTCTCTTCTAAGAGGGAAAATGAAATCCCAAAAAATTTTGAACCCCGCTTTTTCTCCTACATTCGTATCGATCTGTTCTCTAACATCTATCTTATCTCCTTTGTCTCCGCCCCTCACCCACCTCCACTACCTCCAACCCACATCGACTCTTTAAGTCTGCACAACGTAAGCTAGGGCTTTTTTTGATCGGAGGTTATGGTGAGGAGGAATTTGGGGAAAACAACGAGGATGAGGAGGAGGAAAAAGGTTAATTATCTGATTTCATTCCTGTTGGTGTTGATTTTCTCATTGATGTTCGACGTCTTCTATGGTGGTGATGGTCGTCGGACACGTTACGGTTTTGTTGAAGGCGTCGTTGGAAAAAGCGATGGAGGTTCTGGTGCGATTTTCTAGATTACCGGTGGCGGTATTGGTGCTAGTGGTGGCTCTGGCTCCCAATCTATTAGTCATCGTGGATTCATTTGCGATCAGTTCTATTAGTCGTTGCTTCCTCATCATCATCCTCACCAATTTCTAGGTCAGTTCCCTCATTCCTCTTTCATCCCCTTTCCAGATCTCGATCTCCAACTACTATCTTTTACTCCAAAAAAATGCACTGATCTCTTATTTCTCTACTTGCTTAGCCAATCTGTTCTAGGTTTTTTACTTCTGTATTCAAGACACCTACCTTTCACCCGATATTGTATTCCTCTTTTTTTTTCCTTCAAGTTTCCAAGGGAAGAACCCCGATTTTACAAGCCCAAGGTGTGATTACACTAAGGTATAAAAAGGATGCTTCTACCCTGCCTTATTTCTTCAGTCGTTCAACAAATAACAGGGCATGCAATTTCTCATTCATATCTCGACTTCATCTTCTCTATCAAGAAAAAGGCTTATGATTTTTCCCTTACATCTTATAGCTATTGGCTTAGAACTAGCTGCTATTTGGGAAGCTATCTATCAAGCACACGTTTGAGTTTGTATTCACACCATTTGATGATGCTAGTAACCCTATCATAGCTCAGGTAAAGATGTTTAAATTAAATCCAGTTATCTTAATTCTTAACATTAAAGAATCAGATAATCATAATCATACTAAAAACCCCTTTAATTTAGTGTTTACAATTTTAATTTGACTTTTTGGATTTAAATTTTTTTAGGCAGCTTTCAACGTAGTATATATTTTAGCACTATAACTTTTTATATATATGTTATTTTTTTCAGGTGTAGACATTGTAAAAAGCTTCCACCTGAATGGAAGAAGGCTGCAAAGAATTTACAAGGAAAGGTGAAGCTTGGATATGTGAACTATGATGACGAAAAGGTATTCTTGAATTTCTATTCTTTTTATCTAAAACAATATTATTATTTTTTATTATTACCAACTGATTATGTTTTTTTTTTTCTTTCAGTCTTTAATGAGCAGGTTTAAGGTACAAGGGTTCCCAACTATATTAGTATTTGGTGCAGATAAAGAGAGTCCAGTCATTTGCCCTTGTTGAACTAGAAACAAATGTTGCTCCTCTTGAAGTGATCGAGTTGACTAGCTCATTGAGTTTTCCGCATCCCTTTTATAATTTTTCAGGATTTCCCTTTTTGCCCCTGGTAAAATCATGAATTTTCCATTTTAGGATGTGATGGAAGAGAAATGTGGTTCAGCTACCATCTGTTTTGTTTCCTTCCTCCCTGATATTTTGGACTCTAAGGCTGAGGGAAGGAATAAGTATATAGAGATTCTTCTATCAGTTGCTGAAAAGTTCAAAAGGAGTCCTTACAGGTATAAAAATTTGATTATAGCATTTTACTTATATAAAAATACGAGTAAATTACAAATTTGGTCCCTATGTGGCTATGCTTCACTCAAAATCTCAATTGTTCCTAGATACAGGAAACACTTCAGGCTTCTCCCCTTTGGAGTTCAACCAAAATTAACATATGATGAGATGAAAATTCTTAGAAGACTTGGAAGGCCTTTACCATGTCATTTTTCTTTAGGTTAGTCACTCTCACTCCAAATTCTAGTTCTATATGTTAGCGAACCTGATACATATGCCCTAAATCTACGTTCAATCGATGAATTTCCTTCTCAAATCTTGGTTTCCTCCTTTCATTTGGCTGTTTCTTATCATCCTCTTATTTAAACACACATTTTTATAACTTCCCCCATTGTTCGTTTGATAGAGCTTAATCAGAGGCATTAAACAGGTATGCCTTAATGTCTTCTGGCTTCTTCTGACGATTTTCTCTTTTTCTGTAGTTAAATTGCTGGATATGCTTCACTTTTTATCATGAACTAAGTTCAATTTAATTTGAAGAATGTAAGGACCTGATGATTGCTTTCTTCTGAAATGTGATTGAGTAGACTGAATGTGTTGCCCCCAAACAATTTACTTAACATTACTTTTAATTACATATTCACTGTTTTTGCTGTTTGTTCCTCATATAAGATAACAACTTATCTACTACTACAGATGATTGTATTATTCGTCCAACTAAATGGGCTTTCATCACCAGGGGCTGGTTATGAAAAGTTTCTTCTCCAAATAGTTATTCTTATTCAATATGTTCCCAGATTATACCGATTCCTGCCTCTTCTTGCTGGACAATCTTCAAGTGGATTTATATCTGATGTCGGGGGCAAGGAAGGAATTTTAGCAGTGGAACTTATTCCATTTGATGGAGGAGATGCCTGAGGAGGGGCATTTTCAGGGGCATTTTCGGAAATATGAAGTTTTTCCCATATATCAGAACTGTTAGTCTTCCAAAAATTCATAGAGGTACTTCCCTCATTTTACCTGTGTATGTGTTGCTATGCCCCTCATTTGAGCCCGACTACTTTGTAGGTTGGCTATTTGTTGTCTAAGCCTGATCAATTGGCGTGCTAAAATCTTTGTTGTTGCGTGATCAAACCACATGTTACTACTTATGAATAGTTAGACGTAATAAAAAAGCTTAGAAATCCTAATTTAAGTAGATCTTTATTGCACACCAATTGTTTGATGATATGCGTTAGTGACAATGTTTCTTCTTATATGATAGTTGTCTGAGATTGTATCATATTCATATGTAGCATTAAGTTTCTTTTATTGTTTCACTTGTTTCAGATTACGAAGTTCCCATTTCCTACTCCCCCAGAAGCTAAATCATTGGTTGAAGCAGAGGTTTGTTTAAAGTCTCTTGAAGCTAAATCATTTTGTATACTGTAATGCAGATTTTGACAATGTTAAAGTCCTCACTAAGCTTTTTTTTATCTTTCAGGTCAGGCAGTCTCTAAGTTCTGTGCCAAGTATCTTCACCAGATGTGTGGAGAGCATAAAGATTCTTGAATCCTTAGGCATGGCTTTCTTGCATCATCTTCAGAAGAGGCAGATTCTATTCAGAATGCATCATTGAAGCAAAATGGGAAATCAGAAGGTCTAAAGAGAAAACAACTTTGGCCCCACATAAGTTTTTAAAGATTGATTTTTTCATTTAAATTGTTTTCATTTCCTTGATCTTTTTTTTTTTCAATCAATGTTAGCTTCTTGCTGAAAAACTTTGGCCCCACATAAATCGACAACAGTGGGGTTTGATGACAGGATGTTGCTTCATTCTGAAGTAAGAATTCTTCCCGATATTTCAATTTTCATTTTTTTTAAAAAAAAATATTTTTAATAGTCTTGATGGTTTTATAAATAAAAAACTTTGATGTCATCATTTTTGATCTTTATAATTTGTAGGTTGAAAGGAAGTCTCTTCCTCATCCAGAAAGACCAGATCATCTTCGAGCAATTGCTGCCAGCCTGGCAACTGCAGGTGTGTGACTAGGATTCCTTGTCTTTTTTTTTTTAATTATTTTTTTTTGATTCTCTAAATTGTCATTTCTGTAAATTTTAGGTATATTTCCTGGAAGATGCCAACCGATTTCAGCAAGAGAAATTACACGTGAAGAACTTCAGATGGTAAACATTTCATTCATTAGTTTAAAGTCAACTTGCAATCTTGACTTTCCAACAGTTATTTCACCCCTGATACATATGCAAAGCCAGGCTGGCAGCAGGGTTATGTGCTGACCTGGCATCAGCTATATACTCGGGGTGTGCTAAAAACGGGTTTGCACTGGTAAAAAGAAGTTTCTACCTATAATTCTTCACCTCTCTATTTGTTTCATTAATCTTTATGTTTGATGGATCATGGGTCGTGGGTCATGGGTCATGGGTCATGGGTCAGGTGCGTCCTCCAGGTCATCATGCTAGAGTGAGACAAGCAATGGGATTCTATCTGCATAACAATGCAGCCATTGCTGCATCAGCAGCACAAGCTGCAGGAGCAAAAAAAGTCTTGATTGTTGATTGGGTAATTATCTTTGTAATTAAAAAAAAAAAAAAACTATGAGTTGTAGTTATCTAACCTTATTTATTTACAGGATGTACACCATGGAAATGGAACTCAAGAAATATTTGAGCAGAACAAAACAGTAATTTTATTTTTATTTTTTTTATTCGTGCAATAATTGATACTACTTTCTTCAACTTGTTAATGATATTATTATTATATGGTTAACTCCATATTCTATATTTTTTTTGGTTTAACCACAGAAATAATTTTTTTCTTGGTTAACCACAAAGAGTTTGTGATATTTAAAAAAAACATAAACACTATAAGTGTTTCCTGGTAATAAATTGCAGGAGGCCATGTAAAATTAACTATCATTCATTCTCCTATAAAAAAAAATGAAACTCAACATAAATATAAAACAATATAGTTGATTAATTTATTTTAAATCATAAATAACATTGTAGATTACTATCTGACTATTTCTGATGATACTGGTTTTAATTGTTATAGGTGTTGTATATATCCTTACATAGACATGAAGGTGGAAAATTCTACCCTGGTACAGGCGCTGCCCATGAGGTAAACATAACCCTAATTTTTTTTTTCTCTCTCATTTTTTACATCGAGAAGGGTAAAATGGTCATTTCACTCTTATATATGTTATCAGGTGGGGTCCATGGGTGGAGAAGGGTATTGTGTAAATGTTCCATGGAGTCGTGGAGGAGTTGGGGACCATAGTCACAGGATTCGCCAAAGTAGTCACGATCCACGTTCCAAACGGCTCGATCCCAAACGGGGTACGATTGCGTATCGATCGCCAACAGAAACGCCCTCCGGTACGTCATGCTTGCGATCCCACCAATTCTTTAAATCGATACCTGAAACGTAAAATTGGCAAATTGAAGCAAATGCAGGGTTTCTTGTAAGATGAGGGTGAATGCATCAGGTATGCCACCTTTGTTTTCCCTTTGTCATGTTTGAATTGTTTGGAATTAGTTATGTTATGTCAATGTATGCTTTATGTTATGTCAATATATATATATATATATATATATATATATATATATATATATATATATATATGTAAATGACATGTATACATACTCCTGAAATTTCCTATATTTGGCTGAAAACATGCAGACAAACAAATTTGACATATTAGTGCCTTGCAGCCTCTCAAAGTTCTTGCATTCAGGTTATTCTTTTAGAAAGAAAATTGTCAAAGGTGATTGTCAAAGGAGAATTTATTCAAGGGTTTCTTTTCATGTTGTACATGTTTTGTTTTCAATAATAAATATTATGCAATATTAGCAATGTGTTACATTTACTTACTATTGGAATGATTATTTGTATATGACATTTGTATATGATATTTTATTTTCTATTATGAGGCATTAAATTCAAATTTAATTTGAAAATTAGTAAATCTATTAAAAATATTTTTTTTAAACATTTAAAATTATGATACGCAAAAATGTGTGTCATCTTCATTTATGACATGGCCTTTCTTGACAGGGGCTTTCTTGATACGCATTGCGTGTCATTAACACGCGCGTCGTAAGGTTACGACATGCGAATGCGTGTCGTCTTCCTTTATGACAGGGCCTTCCTTGATACGCATTGCGTGTCGTAAACGCGCGTCGTAAATGCGCGTCGTCTCTCTTTATGACAGGGCCTTCCTTGACGCGCATTTGCGGGTCGTCTGAGCGTTTTACGACGCGCAATGAGCGTCGTAAAAGGCCTTTTTTCTAATAGTGATAATACGTCAGAAACCTTTGAAACGTTCAAAGAGTTTAAACAAGAAGTGGAGAATCAGTTGGGCAGGAAGATAAAGATTCCCCGATCCGATCGGGGTGGTGAGTATCTTACTATCGAGTTCCTTGACTATCTTAAGGAATGTGGAATTGTTTCACAGTTGACGCCACCTAGGACACCACAACTTAATGGTGAGGCTGAGAGGTGCAATTGAACCTTGTTGGACATGGTTTGTTCCATGATGCATCGAGATTCATTACCTATCTCGTTCTGGAGGTATGCCTTAGAGACTACCACCCATATCTTTAATCTAGTCCCAACTAAGAAGGTTGCCAAAAACACCTCACGAGATGTGGACAAGGAAAGTTCTCTCGTTAGCACACATCAAGGTTTAGGGTTGCGAGACTTTCGTGAGACGTAAGACTCACGATAAGCTCGAACCTTGCAGTGAGTATTGTATTTTCATCGGTTACCCACAAAATTCCTTTGGATATCTCTTCTACAGACTGAGTAACAATGTTGTCTTTGTTGCAAGGACAATAGTCTTTCGTGAGAGAGAGTTGATATGCCAAGGGGATAATTGGAGGCAAATTGAACTTAAAGACCTTTAAGAGTCAAGTGGTGAAGGAACCTCAAACACTAGCGATCAACCTGAGGAAGAAACTCTTTTTGAGTCGATTGACGAGTCCGTACCTCTGAGACATTCCAGTAGAGTTAGACTTCCACCTGAGTTTTATGGTTTCCATATCAATGCAGAAGATGATACATTTATCAGTGATAGCGCACTAGTAAATTTTGATGAACCTAACAACTACAAGGAAGGCATGGCATTCCCGGAGTCTGCTAAATGGAAAGAGGCGATGGACAACGAGATTCAGTCCATGTATGATAATCAAGTTTGATACTTGACCCGAAAGTAGCATGGTCCATTTGGGTTGCATTTAACCAGAACAATTTGTAAGGATGGACTTTTGAGAAGAGGTTCATGCTTTATTATATATTAGAAGTTATAATATATTAATATGAAATCATATTATTTAACTAGTGTTGATCAATAATTAATTTGGAATTAATTTAGTGATCAAAAGAGACTAATTAAATGTAAGGGGATTGATTTGGTAAATCAATGATTCTTATAATGTGGGCCTATGGTTATTTAGGATGGGATAAACCAATATAGTAGTCCATGGAGGTTTAACCCATGGATCCTAAGTAAGATGAAAGGTCATGCACATTAGGGTTTACATGGGTGTAACCCTAATCCTTGCCACATTATAAAAGGAGTCCCTTAGCTCATGAAATTGGTCACTAGTGATCTTTGGAAGAGCATAGCCAATTTTTGTGTGCTAGTTATTCTCTCTCAACTCCTCCATTGTTGGTGGTGTTTGTGAAGCATTTGAGGCGTCACATTTGGGGTGCTAGGCTCTTAAAGGTCCAAGGTATCAAGCTACAAGAAAAGGTATGTCATCTAACTAGTTTTTTTTGTTATACAAGTACCTATGTTTTGTATGCTAGTTAGGATAATGCTTTGGAAAATCAAATTGCATGTATAATTATAGAAAACATAGATCCAAATCATTTAGGATTGTATATGCACCTTAAGGTTGTTAGAGTGCTCAATACCCATCATTTATGACCTCTTTTTATGGGTTTTTGGTCCAAGATTTTCTAACTTGTGGGTCAGGATCAACCCAAGAGTTGCTCTTCCAGATCTAGTGCCTTGATAGGCTGTGAGGACATAAAGGTGCAAACTTTATGCCCTTAGAGCCCCCATACAAGTGCTATTTTGAAGAGTTATGAATGGGTAAAGTTGGAAACTTTATCCTTAGAAAGGCCATTCCAGTGAGCAAACAAACTAAGGACCTTGCATCTAGAAGATAGGGGCTCACTCTTTTCAGATGGCCAAATAGACAGAGGGACTCGTCGAATCCATAAGGGAACTCGATAAGTCGAGTTGTTTTGTCCCAATTTCAGTTTATAGTAGAACTCGACGATTCTGTAGAGAAACTCGACGAGTTGATTCGCCAAGTCACGACTGAGCAGCTCGATAGGACTCGGCGAGTCGGGGGAACGACTCGGCGAGTTGAGTTACGATTCCAGGATTTCTAAGTTATAGAACTCGGCGAGTTGAAGGATTGACTCAGTGAATTGGTCAACCCAGAAGGTTGACTTTGAACATAGCGTTGACTTTGACCAGGGGTAAAATGGTTATTTTACCCTTAGATGGTTTTTTAGTTTTCTAACTGAGTATTATTGTATAGATTTAGTTGGGGAGTCGTGGGAGCAGCCAACATAGATTCCTCATGCCAGAGATCAACATCCAGTTTGAGAGGTGAGTATTCCTTCAGCAGGAACGAGTCGAAGGCACCAATGCTGGACCGTTTATATATATTAGTATGTGCCAGACTCCGGTTCGATGCCAGGTTCGTCCCGATGCAGCTGGGAGTAGTCCTAAAGTTATGTTATTTGTTGTATGTTATGTGTATAATATGTGGTAGTTTCGTGGAGCTCTCTAAGCTTCGTGCTTATGGTTTTCAGTTTTGGTTTCAGATACCTTTTCTAGCAAAGGGAAGGGCTCGGGATGATCGCATGGCACACATCACAATTTTCTAGCCCGGGAGATTTACTCTGATTTTCGATATGAGATTTTTAAATGTTGATGGATATTATAATATTTTGAGACACATGGTTTATGATTTTATACTATGGTAATGATATTTATGATTTTAATAATGATTTAAAATAAAAAATTTTGGATCATATTTTTGGGATGTTTCAAGTTGGTATCAAACCTTTGGTTTGAGGGATTCGGGATTGGTATAGAAATTTTCAAAAGGAAAATCAATTTTTGTAAAAAGGATTTTGAGAAAATAAAAGAGTTTTAGAAAAAGAAAAATGAATTTTGAAAAAGAAAAGAACTTTGAAAAGAGAAAAAGGGTATGGTTCATGCAATCAATCGAGCTCAAGTAAGTACTCCCAATTACCCTTACAAGTATATGTTATGGTATGATTATCAGCTTTATGAGAACTGCATGCTAGATTAGGACTAAGGATCTAGGTGGGATGCCTTATGTACCTGTTTTGTGAATCAGCTTGATGAACTGCATGTAGGTACAGATTAGTCAGTATGATGGTCTGATTAGAATATGCTTGATTATGTGTACTCAATGCTCGAATGTTGCTTGCTTTGTGCTTTTAGGAGTTATAGTAATCTTTTACTAACTAGTAAACGAATATGTTCAGTTACATATTGCGAGGACTAAATAATTTCAGAATGTTAGTTTTAGCCATATTTCGCAGCTCTCGTTTGAGTCTAACTGTTGTAGGGTAAAACCTCTCATTCGAAGAATTATCTAGTCTTAGTGATGTGTAATAGTATTCGTGAGCTAGTTAGGGGAAGATAGCAGGGACTTCTTATGCAGCTCATGGCGGAGAGTTGCATGGTGATTACCCTAGGACAAGCCTAGGATGAGATTAGCGCGTGAAGCATTAGTAGTAGAAGGGACTTGGTGAAGTCAAGGCAGTTCTTGAGGAAAGTACGGATAGATGTGGAAGGTAGTATGGGACTGTACTACTGAAAGCAGAGGACCCGTACTCGAGTCAAGGAAGACTGAGATGAATCCAGGGAACTTGTAGTGTATGTGATTCCTCAAATTATGTTTAGTATTATGATGTTTGTTATGATGTGTTTTCAGAATGGTGGTTTTACACCCTAGACCAGCAGTTGGCACTTCAGGTGCCGGTGAGGGATCAAGCTCAAGCTCTGGAGCTGAGCAGCTAGACAAGCAGACTAGGGAGTTCATCTCCTTAGAGATCACGTGAAACATACTAGACCAGACTCATGAAATCTTTGGCACGATCATGGAAGGAATTCTTGAGCTTTTGGATGAGAGATTGAGTGTTTTCCGCACTGAGGTAGCGACCATGATGGTGTCGTGCACACTGACTTTCAGGGAGTTCAGAGCTTGTGGAGCTCCCGAATACCATGGTGGCTCGGGACCCATCGCGAGTACCTGTTTTGGATTTAGTTTCAGGTACTCCGGGTGATTGCAGGAAGGCGAAGGCTTGATCGTGCACCTCCACACATTTTATGATTTTGATTTCTGAGATACTCTGATATGAAACTATTTTGAAAACATTTTGTAATAAATAATGGTTTTTGAATGATTGAAAAAATTTTAAATTTTCATGAATTTTATGGATGTTACATGGATATGCGCTATAGGGTTTTTGAGTTGCTTTGGGACTAAGCAACTTGGAGCCTATAAATAGGAAGCTATGGATCAAACCCTATATGTTCCTAACTTCCCCTTGCATCCCCTCCTTATTAGAAGAAAAATAAACCCTTTGGGGTTTATAGTTTTTGTTTCTAGCCTCTTATCTCCTTGGGATTTGGTGTTTTGCTCTTTTTGTGTTCTTGAGTGTGAACCACTAGAAGAATTATACTTTAGGTTCTCACATCCAGTCAAAGGTGACAAGAACTAGATCTCAAACAAAG